TCTCGTGTGCGCAGTCGATGCACGACGATCAGACAGACGTGTAATAATAAGACGGCGAAATAAGGAATGCGGAATAATCAATCTGCGCTCGTGTCGCTCCGAGATTCGCGTGTTCATCTCCTCGAAGAGACACCTCGCCATTATCTATGTATGGCTTATACATTTATGGATGATGAGATGGAAACGACGGCGACAAGTAACGAAGATGTTCTGCATATCGCGACTTTGTACGTTCATTTAGCGCGAACGGAACGTGATGGCGGGTCGGTTCATGAACAGATTCGAACGATGAATCGGATGATTTAAGTTAAAAGATCACGAAGAAAATATAACGATCGAGCGAATAACTGCTCCTCGACGAGAGGCGAAATTAATAGAGTAAGTGAGTGCAAGTGAGCGAGCAAATCTTCAATTTAAAACCCGATTCATCTTCCAATCCTATTTGACCGCCGCCGCCACAACCGCGACCAAGGATATAGAGTTGTCTTAATAAATCACAATAACTTCAACTGCGGAATGCTCTCATGTTAAAAAAAAAAAGAATAGCGTAAATTTGTATATACCGGATTCTAATAAACTATTTTTGTTTACGAAAGCTGAGTTAACTTGATTTATTAACGTCCTACAATAACGATGATAATTAAGTAGTGCAATAACGATAGCGTCGCTTTTAAATTTTAAATCCTTTTATAACGGAGCTCCTCTCGCCGCGTAAATATATTCATAGATGAATGAAATTAATGGCGTTTTTCTCCAATACTTTCTTGAAAAAAGTTGGCTACGGTTAAAAAAGTCAACATCTGTGTCTGCAAGCCCGTCCGCGCTTTAATATTGTAACTTTAATATATTCTCTATTTTTTTTATACGATACGCTATCTATCTTGGTGTATTCCTTTCATATTTTTAAAATAATAAAATATTGAAGCGCCAGCGGAATGCTTTGCTTAACCAATTTTCCCGGCATCGGAGTGCCACAATAAAAATAAAATAATGATTTTCTCGATTAGCCGTATTTTCGCAGTCCGCATTCGTATAAATGCCAGCGAAAATATCCGCGTCGGAGCCACGTAATGTTTCATTTCAAATCTCGATACATTTTCATTCGCATCGCCTGCGTTTGATCAGCGCACGTCAAACCCCTGGGTCTGATATCGAAACGCACGGTGTACCAAATGTATCACCCATATGATTGATCATCCTGCATTTTTGCGGCTAATTCGCTCAACATACGTCAGCTGTTGCGAACAAGCGGAGAGGGGGGGGGGGCCTTGAAAAAGTTGCCCGAGCAAAACAGAGCTCAAAGCTCATTGATACCTAAATTCACCCGTTCCCGTATAATCACCGAATCACCGATGGAATCACCGATCGAGTCGTATCTCGAAATACCAAAGCTAAATATCTTACTCTGATTTCTACTGAAATACGACGCGAAGTAGACCGGAAAAGTTTCATCCCTTTAGGAACAGCTGCGTTTGACGGAAACTCGATATCAAAATTCTCGCTCTCTCGTGTCATTATCTTTACTGTCTGTCATTTCGACCGTTCGATTTCGCTGCCTTCTTGATCGTCGTCTTTTCCGACGACTTTTCCCCTTCCTGATGGGAACACGTGACTAGATAATATATAAAAGTGCTCGTTTAATTAAATCGACTAGGAAGAGGAGGAGAGAGGCACGCGACTTAAATAAATTGTCGGTCTGAATAGGTAATAGATAGATGGCCCGAAAATGTCCTGAGCGACCTCGTTTCACACCTGTGTAATTAGGACAAATCTAGATAAGATGGCTAATTTTGTACCGTGTCGTTTAAAATACATGTGAACAATCGGCCGATATTGACAGATCAGTCAAACGAAAATTCGCGAGATATCTTGCATATTTAATCGCGAGTTGATTGTTTCGCAGTTTCCAGTTTGTTTTCGTGACGGTCGACTTTGCGAAATAAAATATTTAAAAATTTCATAAATCAATACAGGACCCGACCCATACCTGTGTGACCGCAATAAAAGGAGGAAATTATTGAATTTATTACGATGACACCTCGAATAAGCATAAATTTTGGCGCAAAACAGGTTTCTCGCCGCACGAGATACATTATGATTAAACACCCTCACGCCCATAACCATTATTCTATTAAATAATGTTATTCTCAGAACGTTAAGCGTCGCGAAAATAAAATATCGCCCCTCGCGCTTTTTGCGAGGCAATTAATTTCGCACGCTTGTAACGCCAGGACGGAATTAAAATGTAAATTATGGTGGTGAACTTACCGGATCACCTTTGGGCCCGTCCAAGCCGATGGGTCCCTGAAAGAACACCGCCAGTGAGTGCCAGTCGTCGCTCACGCGTCCGTAACGACGAACGAAGAAAAGTGAAAAATTGCGTGCGGGCTGAGCGCGCCCTTGAAAATCTCATTCCTTGTGTATGTAACATGTAATAAAAAACATGGGCGAGCGCGACAAACCAGAGACGTGATGAGTCGTTATGCTTCCAGGCGCGACAAAAGTGCACTCGCATGATCCTCTCGATGTTGACGCGTGCATTTGCGAGACGAGGCGCGAGAATCACGCGAGGAAGGAAGCGCTGTTAATAGAAACTTTATTTGGCACACGTGAATGTTTAATTTTAGCGCGGCTTTAATCCTGATGGGGCAACTTTCATATTTGATGCCGGGTCGTATCTCAAAATTGGCATTTCGCCGTTCCGCCAATTTATATCGAATTTCTTTCAATATCGTTTGCTAGCGTGATTAATCAGAGCCGACAGTTAAATATGACTCGATTTACCTTTTATATCTAATTTATTTTTCGATTGCGTGCAATTTAAATAAGAGGAGACACGCGGCATTTTTTATTAATTACAAATTTTACGGACGCGCCGCGACGCGTATGCAAATGTTACAAAAAATTAATTTCCCGTAAAAAAATTTTATATTCTCTGATACGATCTCAATTTTTTATTATAACGAAAATGTTTCGCGCCGATACTCGACGTGTTCACTTTTCATTGACGGATCGATCGCCGAGATTCCACTCGGCAATTACAGCTGCAACGGAACTGATAACTTGATACTTTAGTAAATCGGAAACGTTAATAGCCGACTCAAGATTGCCAATTAAAACGAGAAGTGATACTCGTAACGCGCGGAGAATGCAATTAATCCGTTTCCTCGAAACATCCGTTTTCCTGTACACAGTTGCACCTTCAGTCGTCAAAGCGACGCGCGATACAATGTAGCGGAGGCGAGAATGCCGGAGTCCGATTTCGCGCTTCGTATGAATCGCGCTGATATACAATATGAATGAGATAAAAAAAAAAAGAACGAAAACAAAAAAATCTAAATGGATAGCTAGTATCGAGAGCCGGAAGAGGATCGAGAGATAGCTCGCGGATAAAGAAGCAGGTCAAACGAGCAAAAATCGCACATCAGCGGCTACATGATACGCATTAATAGTACTTAATGGCTGTTACGATGCACATGGTGGTGTGGTGAGAGTCGTGGTGTTCAAGAAACGTGACAGAGAGAGCGAGACAGAGAGAGAGAGAGAGAGAGAGAGAGAGAGAGAGAGAGAGAGAGAGAGAGAGAGAGAGAGAGAGAGAGAGAGAGAGAGAGAGAGAGAGAGAGAGAGAAGAGAGAGAAGGAGGAGAAGGGAAGGGAAGGAAAGGGAAGGAAGGAAAAAGGGAAAAGGGAAACGGAAAAACGTAAGGTCGAAAAACCGGTAAGGGTAAAGGTTGGGTAAGGGGAAGGGAAAGTAGGTTAAAAACTAAAAAGGAACCGAAACGGAACCAAAGGAACCAAAGGAAACCAAGGAACCAACGGAACGAAACGGAAGGAAGGAAAGACGAAGAAAGAAAGGAAGGTAGGTAGGTAGGAAAGAAAGGAAAGAAAGAAAATAAAAAATAAAATAACTACCGGTAAACCGGTACCGTTCGTCCGGCCGGCCCGGTCCGACACCTACGTAAGTAAGGTAAGTAAAATTAAAAACTAACGTTACGTACGAGGAGGAGAGAGGGAGGGAGGGAGGGGGGGGGGAGGGAGGGGATTTACTCAAGGTACTCTCTCGCGCGCATGCAAAAGCGATTATTTCGCGGGCCGGCCGATCGTGCCCGCGATATTATCGGTCCCGGTCCCGGCGTATATGTATATATCCACGTGTATATACGGCGGTCCCGGCTGTAAGGACCCGTATACACTACCGCCCGCCGATAATTATTCCGGCCAATTAGATATTCCATGGACGTATAAGCACGCGCGCACGCACACGAGCGCGCGGATATACATTCCCTTCCCGTTCTCCCGGCGTTCCGCCAATCCACGATCTTTGATTACGCGACGATGCGCTCGCTCGATCGGCAATCGCGAGGGAAATCCGATCGCGCGCTCCAGGAACACCCACGACGCTGCCAGCCAGAGAGAATCGTTGCCGTCGTGTTGCGACGGACGCACCATTTCAACCTTGATAATTAAATACGACTGATAACTCTATCAGATAACTCTATCTTTCTATTTCTTATAATTTTGAGACTAGATTCGACGGATGCGTATGTATATCGAATGGGAATGTAAAAAGCAAATATAAGGATTAATAATAAATTAAATTTAAGGAGAAAAATAAGAATTTTTGAGCTTTTAAATTATTAGGATAAAAAATGTGAACGAGTTGTATATATAAATTTTATAACTAATTATAATTAATTACTACTTTGACGTAATGTAAGTTGGTACCGCGCGAGAAAAATTAATATTAATTCGTTTCTCCATTGGTAACAATATTATATTATAATTTTGTCCTCGATAATCCATGTCGATTCTTTTAGGAAACAGCCAACAGGAAAGCACCAATTAAATATCAAATAATTTCTCTCTGTAAATGGAATGTGCGAGCTTCATCTTTAAGCTAACATAATTACGCGACAAAGTTCTCGATAATATTCATGTTGAATTAAAGACGCACCCGCAGGAAACGGTCTAAACTCTCGCTTCCTCAGAGGGAAGAAAAATTAATTTCTTCAGAAGAAAAATGAAGTTTATAACGTACATCATGATTAATACGCGGTAGCACTCAGCTCGTTTTTTAAACTTTACGGTTTAGACGGTTTCTTTCCGAGAGTACATCTTCAATTCTCTTCGCGCGCGCGCGCGCTCGCGCTTGCTTCTTTCTGGCAAAAGCGCGTACTGCTTACATTAGTCACCACGTGTATTCAATCTCGAGTTCAGAAAAGCGAAACAAAGGGATAATATAACGCGTATCTGTTAACTACTACTTCATGCATGGAGCTGCTGCACTCTCTAAGAAACACACTCGCGCACACACACAACTGCACGTGCGACGTATCGGTGCATTAAACTAGAGGGGTTTAATTGTATTGTATTGTATTGTATAATATATATATATATATATATATATATATATATATATATATATACGGCGTGCCCCGATACCAAGTATCAGCACGAAGGTACTCACCGGCGCACCGGGCTCCCCGGGATCGCCCTTCTTTCCTTTCTTGCCCCTTTTTCCGGGTGGACCCGGCTCACCGGGTGGACCTGAAACACACGAACAATGAAACTATGAAGTCGTACATATATATACCTGGAAACACTTCCGATTCTCTCTTAGCGATAGGAAGGCAAGCGCAGCTTCGACTGCCGAACAAGAAAAACATATACCAGAGATAGGTATTTCACTTGTCTTACAACTACATTTAACTCTTTTAAAACAAGTTGTTCGGATCGAACTATCTACTTTCGCGCGTTTCACGCTTCGAGGTATACAAAGTGTACAAAAATTTCTTGACACTCGAAAGTCCAATTTTTCGCTAGAATTACGTGACACTTTTTTTAATCTTCATTTTAGAAATGAAATTACGTTAAAAAAAAACTTGTGGTTCTCTCAAAATTCTTCCGTCGCAGTTGCGATTTCAGTTTTCCGAGAGCGAGTTGATCTTTGACAAAGTGAGAATATCCAGTGGGAATATTGAAGTTTACGAGAAAGACTCTTGTATACTCCTGTGGCCAATCGCTAAAGTAAAACGGACACCCTATACAGCTCGAGCGTTACCACTAACGAAGTGTTACCACAGCGGTGAAAATGAGTTTTGGGGATTGCACCAACGGATAAACTTCGGGGATGGCTATATGAGATACCTCAACTCCGCTCAATATCAGTTCGTAGATATTTAGGAATAAACGCAAAACAACAGGCTATAATTATTGCCATGTGAGATCTATAAATTTCCAACTATTAATCCCGCGATTCATTTATATCTTGTTCGTTTTATTCTGATTTATTTCAACAATTTCGATTTTTAGCGCCAAGTAGTTTTGTAATCATACGTAGCTCGACGTTCGGACAAATCTATCATTATCCTAACTTCATTCCCGCGGTTGCGTGATGAAAGAGCATCCGGTAACGACGGACCACCCTGTAGCGCGCGAGCGCCAGCGGGTCCGAGTGAATGGGCGAAAGGACCAATAGATTTGACGCGAAATGAAATTACATCGTCGTTCTCGTCCGTCGAAGGTATTTCGAAAATCGAGGAGAATGAATGTGCAGCGTGCAGGCGAAAATCTGATCGACCAGCTTCGCGGCATGAACGTAACGGGACTAATTCTTTTATTTGACATTTGATTTTTTTCTCCCTTTTTTTTTTTCATTTTATTTGACATACCGGCTTCGCCGGTGGACGTTACATGGCTGCTCGTATCCCCCTTTCAGCTTCATTACTTGAAAAAACGAAAATCCGGGCTTGCTCCGTTTCGACGAGCGCAACGAAATGGAAATATACTGTACAACACCGTGCTCCAATGTACGAGCCATCGTGGTTAAACAATATCATCCTAAAAAAAAAAAGAAGAATCATAGCTATGCGCGTTTCTATCTAAAAGCACGGAGAACCCTTAATGAATTGTTATAGGCGAGCCAGCCGCGCGGTTCATAAATTAAAAGGCATGATTTTTGTCTGTTACATTATACTGTTACATTATAATATATACATTTGAAAATAAAATGATTAATAAAAACGTTTTAAATATCTGCGTCTTTTTATTTGTAAACGTGGCCCCTTCCGACACTTTGCTATTCATTAAAAGTGCTTCGCACTTCAGACGAAAACAGTACACACTTTTTAACGATCAAGTTAAAAATTGTTACGAATAATAAATGAATGCAGTCGGACATGCATTTCTATGATGACATGAACGCTTCGCCCGAGGGTAGGCTGCTACTGCAGCTCGTTTCTCGTTGTCCGCGTTATTCTAATTTCCGGCAGGGACTTGTCTGACATTCAGGGTCGGAGAACCCTCTCTCCCTCTCTCGCTCTCTCTCTCTCTTTCTCTCGGGGAACAATTCGATCGTGATTTATTCCCGGGGCTGCCGGCCGCTCGGACAAGGGCGCGACGAGCGGTTCTCCTTTTATTTCCCATTTATCGCCACCGGCATGCATCGCATAGGGGATGACGTCATATCCTCCGGAGAGGGAAGCCGCGAACTGAAGTCGCCCGCGGGGGCGAGCTGCATCACGTCGCAGTGGATAACAACTTTTGCCGGATCTTTTTTTTTTTTACAGACAGATGAACCTTGGGGCGAAGCCGCGCGAGGAAAAAGTTGCGCGAAAAAAGCGAAAGTTTTTCAGTGGAAGTGTCGGTGGAAGTAAATGTTGGCTGGTAGCTTTTATTTACGTAGCCTACTTACGATTCATTTACAAGTTTCGCCCACAGACGAGTTCTTGAATTCGATTTCTCACAAATAAGAAAAGGATAATTAAAAGCCCGGATTGATTCATTGTAATTCATTCACCTTTAGGATAAATATTATAATCCATAGATTATAATTTCAACAAAATTTTAATATGAGAGCTAATGGAATTTTAAAAGATCCGAGAGAATAAAAAAGTTTCAAATTTATCATAATACAATTTCCTTCGGTCCTTAAAGTCTCGCGTAGGAACGACACTTTTATCGCGGCAGCATAAATACGAATAAATAATTAATTTACAAAAGTGATCGATATTATGCGTTAAATGAATTATCAATAACATTTTTATTTCCGTTCATTATTAAACTGACAAAGTACGATTAGGGAATTACCGCGCGGCGATTGCTCGACCGCGGAATTTCTACTCTCTCGACGAGCGGACATGAGCACATTTTCATTTAACAGACACGAAACTGTCAGTACGATCGCTCGTAGCGTTCCACGGCAATTCTGGATAATCCATCCTGACGATAATACCTCCACGATGTGTGTAGAAATAACGACGTACGTGCCAATCGCGCGTATTCCTCAGCGGCAGCTGGTGGACGCGTATTGGACGTGTGCGTCTCCACGTCTCGAGAGAGAGAGCACACCGGTTTGTATCTTGTATCTCCGAACAAAAGTCAGAAAAGGCAGATGGCATAATCCCGCCACACGGCCCTTTCGAGGATTATGCGGCGAGGAAGGCGATGGATGCGCCGCGCGGGGCTACTCCGGATACTCGACAGACGGCTCTATCAAAATTATATAAGTGAAGCGAGGTGCGTTAGTTTTAAATCCGACAGGGATTTGCGGATATAAACTCGCGAAAGGTATAAATGAATTCATCAAGGCGGGCGAATTATTTAAATTTACACAAGGCCCTGCGCGCAATGGAGGAGGAAATATTGGGAATAGGAATAAATGTTAAATTTTAGAAATAAAAATTTGAAATAAACGTAACATACGATGATACGTAATACAAGTAAGTATAAGATACGACTATATTTCATACTGATTTGTATTCATTGTGCCTTTACGTTTAATTTTTATTCCGAATTTTCATGTCCAAAATTTAATATTTATTCCCCGTTCCTAATATCTGTTCCATTGTGCGCAAGATTCAAAAAACGTTCGACGTACGAGGACAGTTTTCTGATTATTATAAAAAAGTATTACGACTCCAAAATTTAAAATTGAAAAGAGCAAGAGGGTAATTTTTTTTTTTCCTACGATAAAAGATCCAGAGGAGTTCCTCGCGAGATTATTTTAAGTAAATTCATACTAATGAATATACGATAAACGCGATAAAAATGCGCTGTCCCACTTTGAAAAATTGGCGTGTCACTCTCGTTGAAACTCGGCGATTCTCTTTTTGCAGGCGCAAAACCAACGCGATATCCAGCTCCCACGGCGGAGCCGCGCGCGCGATAAGAAACGAGGAGCGCGAGTTCGGTAATGCTCCGAGAAGAAGAGGCGGAGGCGGGCGAGGCGCGAACGGAACGAAGAAGCCGACGACGGCGAAGCAACGATCGATCGATGTCGATCAGTATCGAGATGAAAAAAGAGGAGAGCTCCCCCCCTCGCTTGAATTCCCTCCGGCTGCTCGCCGTCCGTTATTCTCTCGACGCGGCAAGTTTTCGCCCCCCCCGCGGTTCTCATCAGACCGCGCAGATGACGGCTGCTGCCACCGCCTCGCCTCCCCGAATACTTGTACTTGTCGCGAATACCCGGGGTATAACGAGGAAAGTTTGCGCCGACGGACATCGCCGATCGCTGCCGCTCGCGCAGCTTTGGTCGCTCGGCAAGAAGCGACCGGGGCGAACTTTGCGGGCCGCGACGCGGCCGTCGTGTCGAGCAGATTGCGGTATGTTGAACAGATACGCAAAAAAGAGGAAAAAAGACAGCCCGCCGCGGGATTAAAGAAAGCTTGAAAATAGATTTCCGTGACGCGATTGAAAACCGCCTGCGTTACGCTCGTAATCGATATCCGGTGGATTTTTTTCATCTCGCAAAGTGAAATTCAAATTCGGCCGCTCGATGCACTTCACCCTCGCACTTAATTTATTTTAATTATTTACCAATTGCAATTTACATCAAATATTTAATTATAAAAATATTTAATATTGAAAAAGTAGAAATAATGTACGTTACAATAAATCATGACCTATTTTAAAACTTTCATTGGCACGAGTTGAATAAAATTTTATAAATAATTTTCTTATTATATTATATAAGGTCAAATACAGAAAAAAATAATAATTAATTATCGGCCTCAAGATTATTTTATTCGAAACAATCGTCGCTCTTTCCTCGTGACTTTATTTATTTTATCCGATATGTAGGACAGCATATCTCGCATCCTTGAAAGCAAGACCGAATTGGAGTGCGCTGACAGGACATTTTCCGCTGCAATCGAGCCGTCGTAGAACGCGTCGTTCGCGTTTGTGCACTTCACCTATCGGGATAGTTGGCATACGTGCGATTCCGAGCGACATAGCGGCCCAATTGCTCGGTAATTCGGCGTGTCTCCATCTTTTCGTCGGGCGACTCGCGCGAATGTGATCGAGGCGCGGGACGAGAGAGAGGGGGGGAGCGAGGAACGGGAACACGACAAAGAGAGGACAAAGAAAACGCGCGCGGGAAATAACCGCGCAGTCTAGACACGACTGAAATACTTCGGGATGACGACATGCGGCACGGGAACAGGGCGAAACTTTTGTCTCTCGTTCCCGCGGGAAACCTCGCATCTCTCCCTCTCTCTCGCCCTTTCCGATTGTCAACCCTCTTGGAATCTCTCGTGCGAATAAGA